GTGGGAGTGTGTGTGCGCGCATGCATGTACATGGGGGTAGGGAGGGAAGGGTCCTTAGAGTCCCTGGAGTGTGCGAATCCTAGAACTGTCTGTGGGGGCAGTGAGCAGGGCCAGCCGCACCTGGCCCCACAGCATGCAACAGCCTGTGCTCCCACCCTAGTCCCCCGCTGCAGGTGGTGGCAGCATGCGAGGCCAGCCTCACCGAGCCCTGAGTGATGAAGCCAGTGGTGCAGGTCATGGGGCTTGGCCAGGGAGGCAGGGAGAGGGGCACAGCCATCCCAGCACCATAGTGCAGAGCTCCCTGCTGTTTTCCATGACCTACACATAGCAGTGAGTGAGGCCAAGCCGCTGGCTCCATTGTATGCAGCTTTTGCGGACTATGCGTGAGCCTCGCGCGATACAGCTTGGAAGACTCTCCACTCCTGCTGCCCCACCCTGGGTCCCCCCAAGCCCCAGGGCACTGGCATGGGCTCCACACTCCTGCCCGCCACCACCACTTCCCTACTTCCCTCCTGCACACCCACCACTGCTGCTGCTGTTCTCCCTACCCAGCACCGTTCCCCCCCCCCCACACCTGCCCATCGCTCCGGCTCCAGTCCGCCCTAGCCAGGACCTCATAGCATGGCATGGAACCAGCCCGGCCTGGCGCGGGCAGATCGTCGCAGTTTCTGCCCCGCCGCCATGTGGCACAGCATGGATTCAGCCCAGCTTGGATCCCGCAGGGTAGGCTGCTGGCAGCACTTTCCTCCTCTCTCTCCATCTGATCTTATCTGAGTCCCTCTCAGACACAGGGAGGACAGGGAAGAGCTGCAGAGTCACCAGACCAGAAGCCACAGAGGCTTCCAGCTGGGGGCTGGAGGTGGGGCAGGACTGGATGGGTCTTGCTGTTCAGCTGCTGGGTCCTGCCGCTGGTTTCTCCTGGGTCCTGCTGCCATTGGTGCCTCGTCATCTTTGACAGGCAGCCACACGCAGATAATAATTAACTTTCTAAATTTTTTAGGGGCCCTGCAAGCCAGATAGAAAGGCCTGGTGGGTCAGATCCAGCCCGTGGGCTGTATTTTGCCCACCCCTTCTTCAAGGGATGCTTGCTTAGGACTCACAATAACACCCTATTAACACCCCCACCTCATAACTGGATACTGGTCATCTATCAAAGCTGCCAAAACACAGAGAACTGCAGTATTAAAAAACAATAGCGCAGAGAGGCCAGAGAATGCGTCCTAAGCATAAGACTGAGCATAAGAGATGCTCATGCTTTAATTTCCTAACTGCCATTTAGCACTAAGCAAACCCACCACCCTTCTAGCCTCAGATCCGTCATTCCTTCAGCCTGGTGTCAAAATTTCCCGCACAATTCAAAAAGGACATACCTGTCGGCCATAGACATTAACGCAGATGCGTTTGCGCAGCACCAGCTGCATTTCTGCAGGATGACTGAGCTGGACAGTCACTCTCACTATAAGGAAAACTCTTTCATCTGTTGCTGTTCCTTTACTGAGCTGAACACAGTTATGGACTGTGGAGTCCCATGAGGCTTCTGCATTCACCTGCAAAGGAAAAGAAAAGCGTCTCTGCTGATAAGCATGATTAGAAGTATAAGTAGCTGTAATTAATTAAGCGTAATTAACAAAAAATACATAATACATTTTTAAATTCAATTTTTCCAAAAATCACATATGAATTGGTAAGAAATAAAATGCCTGTGCTCAGAAGAGGGCATTTCCAATCATCTTTCATCTGGCAGAGGTGCATGAATGAAAGATTCAGACTTATTTAAATTCAAGGTCATCTCTTTTTTTTTGGAAAAGAGCTCTAAACCTGCACAAAATATCCTTTGAATTATTGTTTCTCACTACACATTTTAATCTTGTCCATTATTAAGAGAAACAGGAAAAGCATGTCAAGATTACAGTGCAAATTTTGCAATCTGCTTATCTTAAAACCACCATTTGATATTTGTGAAATATTATTTTGCCTGAAGCAACATTCCTAAAATATAGACATATGGGTGCTCATGAAGAAATAAGGGAATCTACCTGTTCTTAAAAAATGCACAAATTCATAGCATTCCTGCATTTGTGCAGGAGGTTAGACCAGATAACTCTTGGGGTCCCTCCCAACCCTATAAGTCTATGAAGACTGGCACTAAATCTTCATCAGTGACTTGGACGAGGGGGTAAAAAGCACCCTGTTCAAATTTGCTGATGACACTAAGATGTGGGGGGAAGTGGGCACGCTAGAAGGGACGAATAGGCTGCAATCGGACCTAGACAGGTTACAGGGGTGAGTGGATGAGAACAGGATGGGATTCAACACTGACAAGTGCAAGGTGCTGCACCTGGGGAGGAAGAACCAGCAGCATACCTACAGGTTGGGGAACTCCCTTCTCGGCAGGGCAGAGGCAGAAAAGGATCTTGGAGTCATCATTGATGCCAAGATGAACACGGGCCGGCAGTGTGGGGACACGGTCAGGAAGGCCAACTGCACCTTGTCATGCATCCA